TTTTGGGTCCGGTCGTGGGGCCTGAACTCTGGGCCTGGGCGCTGTCCCTCAGCTCTTCAGCTCAAGGCTAGCACTCTACCACTTGAGCCACAGCGCCACCTCCGGCTTTTTTCTTTTTTGCTTATGTGATGCTGAGGAATCGAACCCAGGGCCTCAGGCATGCAAGGCAAGCACTCTACCACTGAGCCATCTTCCCAGTCCCAACATTTTCAATTATAGCTGGTGTTCTACCACTTGAGCCATGTTTCTATTTTGCTGTGTATTTAGAGAGGAATCATGCCCTGGCTGTCACCATGACTCTCAGATTTTTGCCTTCTTAGCTGGACATTAGTGGCTCATACTTAAAATCCTAGCAACTTATGTGGCTAAGATCTGAGGATCGATCATTTCAAGGCCAGCTCAGGCAGAAAAAGCATGAGCTGTGGCTCCAAAGTGGTAGAGCACTAGACTTGAGCAGAAGGAGCTTAGGGATAGTGCCTGGGTTCTGAGTTCAAAAGCCCCATGACCAACCAAAAAAAAATATTAGCACCTGGCTAAGTATTTTTTATTTTGGTAGAATATCAGTACTGAACCTAGAACCTTACATTTGCTAGGCATGCAGTCTGCCACTTGATTTATGCCAACTCCTTTTGTGGGATTTTCGTTTTGTTTTTGTGTTGATCTTGGGGCTTGAACTCAGGGCCTGGGTACTGTCCCTTAGCTTTTTGTTTGTGTCTGGTCCTCTAATCCTTGAACCACAGCTTGTGTGTGTGCCTATGTGCCTGTGCCTGTCCTGGGGCTTGAAATCAGGGCCTGAATTTTGGTTTTGAGCTTCCTCTATCTCCCGCTCCCCACACCCCCACCCCCCACCCCCAAAATCAAGGCTAGTACTCCCACTTGAGCCACAGCTCCACTTCTGGCTTTTTGGTGGTTAATTGGAGATAAGTCTCACAGACTTCCTTACCCAGGCTGGCTTTGAACCATGATTCTCAGATCTCAGTCTCCTAAGTTGCCAGGATTACAGGCCTGAGCAACTGACACCTGGCTTCACTTTTGGCTTTTTGCTGGTTTATTGGAAATAAGTCTCATTGGCAGGGACTTTCCTGCCCAAGCTGGTTTTTTACCTTGATCTTCAGATCTTAGCTCCTGAGTAGCTAGTATTGTAAGCATGAGCTACCAAGCCCTGGAGATTTTTTTTTTTGGTCAGTCGTGGGGCTTGAACTCTGGGCCTGGGTGCTGTCCCTGTGCTCTTCAGCTCAAGTGAGCACTCTACCACTTGAGCCACAG